ATCTCTTTTTTGATAGCGGTATTTCTACCCCTCCAATCAAATTTCCTACGCGTTCATTTAGTTTCTTTGCATACTACTTCTACATCAAAGATTTTGGTTCCCATCCCTTGTCATCGCCATTATTTCTCTTTTTCATAACTTTTAGCAAATAAAAGTGAAGCCTCGTTCTCCGTTTTCTTGCTTGCAGTCGCAACGCATATATCCATCAGAAAAACTTATTGCTTCAAAAATCAAGCTGAAGAAATTGGTCAGATTAGTACAGTCGCTTTTACAATTAATTTATTTAGCAAGAGCTGAAGTACGACATCCAGTGTTTGACTTCCGAAAATGAGGCTGCCGAACGCGACATCGCCAGCAAAGTAAATCAGCTGCGAATGGAAATTAGTGATTTGGAGAAGAATTTGAGCGACACCAATCAAAAAATTGCAGCCGAACAGTGCTTCCTTTTAATTCTTAATTTCTATTATGCGTTTTTTGCAGCAATGCAATGCAAAAACGCATATTGTCGAGGGGCTGTCTGTGTGTGTGTGTCTGTGTGTCTGTGTGTATGTATGCGTGTATGTGTGTATCTGTGTGTGCGTCTGTAACGAGTTTTCATCTCGAGACCCATAAAAGCTACAAGGTTGAAAATTTGGTGACTTAATCTACATATACGTACGGGCTTGTATCCTCGAAATGGGCGCTCATGTCCGCGTGGTTCTCACGTAGAGGCACGTGAAAGTTTTTTTGGAGGAAAAGCGTTTTCGGGAACGGCCTATGCTAGGAGGCTGGAACTTCACAGCGTTGTTTCTTGGCCGCATCTAATCCAAAGATTTCAGATTCAGCCTTCACGCACCCTCGGAACTCACGTACACACACGTCAAAGTTTAAACTGGCATCATGCCAACTCCAAATTTAAGGTGATTAGTAAACTGCAGAGAGCTGCAATTTTGCAGCGTTACTTGTCGCCTACTGTTGTGTATGAGAAAGTAAATTACTTGTCAGCTCTTCTGCATCTCACATACGAACACGTAAAAATTTCACGCGTGCGCTTTTGTAACTTTAGAATTGAACCAGCCAGAGGCCTGAACTTTCTGAGCATAACCGATGGTGCCCTTTGACGAGATGCACGCAAAAACGACTTACACATTACTTTCACGTCTCACGTACGTTTCACGTGCACATACGTGAAATTTGACGTAACTCTGTAACCAGAGCAGCTGGACTGCTGAAACTTTCTGGGCGTTACCCAGGGCCGTGTTTGAGTAACCGCTAGTGAAGAAAGTATTCACTCTGCCACTCACGTACGAATACGCGAAATTTTGACGTAACTCTGCAGCCAGAGCAGATTGAGTACTGAAACTTTTTGAGCACTACCTAGGACAGTCTTTAAGCAACACCAGGCGAAGAAAACACTCACGTACGAAAACGTGGAGTTTGGCGTAACTCCGGAACCGAAGCGTCCAGAGCGCTCAATTTTTTGGGCATGGATTAGGAGTCATTGTAATAATTTCTTACATGATGGCCAATCACAATTCTTTTAGCTAGAAGCATCTGCCAGGAAGAGCGTGCCACTGGCGAAAAAACCTGGGAGAGGGAGGAGGGGGGAAGGGGAAAGAATTGGGGGAGGGAAGGGGAGTGCGCTTTCGACTAAGTTTGCAGCTATGCAATGCGAAAACGCATATTAAGGAGAGATTGTTTGTGTGTGTGTGTGTGTGTGTATCTGTCTGTCTGTCTGTCTGTGTGTGCGCTGGGCCTCTGTACCGATTTTTCATCTCGAGACCTACAAAAACTACAGGACTGAAACTTTGGAAGCTTAATCTACATGCATGTAGGGGTCCCCACTACCTAAAATCTACGATCTTACCCGCGTGTACCCACATACGGGCCCGTGAAAGTTTTTTGCAGGTAAGTTGCTAACCAGTGAGCCAGAAAAGCTAGTAAGCGGAAATTTTAAGGGGATGTTTCTCATCCAAATGGGTATTAATGAGCTCAAGCCCAGCACCCGGGTATGTGTGGTGCCCATGTATGGGCCCATGAAATTTTTTTTCAGATAAGTTGAAAACTCGAAAACAGGAGGAGTTAGAAGACTGGAATTTTAAGGGGATGTTCCCCGTCCAAATAGGTATTAATGAGTTCAAACCCAGCCGTTGAGCATGCGGTGCGGTGTGCCCATGTGCGAGCACGTGAAATTTTTTTCCGGATAAGTCGCTAACTGGGGAACCTGAAAAGTTAGAAGACAGTAATTTTAAGGAATGTTTCCTGACAGTCCTGGCGGCCAGTCTGAAATTCTTTTGGCTAGAAGCATCTGCCGAAAAAAGCAGTGCCGTGAGCGACAAAAATCTGCGGAGAGCTATGCAAAAAAAACGCATCTTCCCACGGGCAGTCCTGCGTTGGCCAATTATTAAAATTTTGCATATATACGCATGACTGTACACCAGGATTTGTCCCTCACTCAAAGTAGAGACACGCTTTCAGTAGTGATGCCGAAATATGGCAAGATGCCGCGCGCAGCTAGGTGAAGCCTTAGCGAGATAGCAAAGTAGTTAGCCCAGGTTCTTCTGTTCCGAGCAGCATGCCTCCAGCAAAAATATTCGTTACATTTGCCATGCTCACCTGTTCGTTCTGTATTTCATGAGCAACACCCACCGACGAAGTGGCCGTTTTTCTGTTCACGAATATCATTGATTGCGCAAGTCCCCTGGCTACTAGCAAAGTGAGTATGTTGCACTTCGGCCGCAGAATAGCTCGTGTTGGTATTACTGTCAAGCGCAGTACCCCTATGGAGGAGGTCTGAGTGTTTGATATAGTCACAAACAAAAAACTCCAAACAATTTTTGCTTTATTGTTGTTCAATCTTCTGCTTGCATAGCAATCATGTTTCATGCATATATTTCATCGGACAACTGGATCAGTCACTGACACATCTGAATCTCGAACCATGCTGCTGACAACTTTTCAAGTTGCTTTGACCAAAGTTGAATAACCTGATGGTCACTTAATTCGTTCCTGGAAGTTGCTTCATTTTCTGAAGAGACTGTTAGCTTGACAGTTCTTCCGACAGCAGAGCTTTAGGAGTATTTGATAGTTTTGACATGTCTCTAAATGTATTTGGCTCAAAACTGCAAACCTCGACTACGAGATAAACTACTTTGACTCAAAAACTGCAAAACTCGATTAGGAGATAAAACGTACTTCGTCGTTTTTTAAAAATTCTGTTTTTTTTTTCTAATTGAATTAAATTCACTTCGTGATAAGCATCATTTTGTTCGTAAAATCGTCAGTGTTTTAGCGATGAGCGATTGATTTATGGAAAAAAGCAAGAGACAAGAAATGCAATCGCACGTTTTTTCGATCGTCTCGAAAAAATGGCCAAAGAGCTATACGCACACTCGGTAATAACATTCCACTGACGTCACTTCTATCTTACACGTTAACTTAGGAATCTTCTGTTGTACTAACTTGAGAATTTTCTATTGTACTTACTAGTTTGTGATTTCTCCAACGTCCGGCTTTTCATTTGTTTTTAATATTCCGTTGAAAACTACTTTTTTCCAGAATTTTCCCGGAGGTTTTAAAGTGCCGTCAACTTTGTGCAAAACCAAAATGCATCTAGTTCTTGCAGTATTCCGTGGGTAGATTTTGTAAATGAGAGTGTTATTGTAAACGGATCTCTCTTTTGTAAATGATTTTGGTCCGGGAGAAAATTAAACCACCTGATTTCGCCTCCAGACGCGTCGTGCTAGTCCACGCTGCACTGCCCCCTATGTTCCAGGCTGAAACTGGAAAATTTCTTTGTGTGGCTGCCCTTTGAAGTAAATTACACTTTTTACGCGTTTTGTGCTATGTAACAGCAATACAAAACGCATATTGTCACAGGGTTGTCTGTGTGTGTGTGTCTGTGTGTGTGTCCGCAGCGAGTTGTTCGCAACTTTCAACTCAAGAACCAC